GGCTCCTCCTCCTCCTGCTGTGCAAAGAGGTGAGTATCCAGCTGCATAGGGGAGCCACGCTGCACAAGAGAGCCATGCAACACAGGAGCTCTTCCCTCCCTACATCTGGCAACAGTGGTGGCTGCTCCTCCCCATTTTCCTCCTTACTGAGCCAGCACGAAGGTGATCTGGGCTGCAAAGGTGGGGTGGGGTGGGATTGGGCGGAGTGGGGCGGGGCCAGGCAGGAGTGGGATTTGGGGGTTCAGCAATCCCTGCAGAGTCTTAGCTAGGGAATTGCCCAAGCCCCTGCGAGCCCCCATCAGCCCACCCCTGCCTAGATAGCCTCCTGATGCCCTCTGCCAGTGAAAAGAGAGCCCAGAGGGGCATGCATGCCTCCCTGGGCCCTGTTTTCAGCCTGGATGGTCTCCTGCAGCCCTCTGTCAGCAAAAACAAAGCTAGTGGGGCATGCACATCTCCCCAAGTGCCATTTTCAATGGCAGAGGTCTGCAGAAAGCTGTCCAGGCCAAAAACAGGGCCTGGGAGGGCCACATGCAGCTCTCCAATGCTCCATTTTTGCTAGCAGAGGCACCATGAGCCAGTCCTTCGTGGTTTCCATGCCTGTGCCACAGGCCAAAATTAAACAGCTCATGGGCCAAATCTGGCCTGCAGTCCTTGAGTTTGACACCACTAGCTGGTGGTGTCCAGGGAAAGGGCCCTCTATGCTGTTGCACCTGCACTCTCATACATCTTGCCCCCTAAAGGGCAAGATGCCAACCCTCCTGACCGTAAGAGCCTAAAGACCTGGCCCTCAGTTAGTTTAGGGTTCCACATCCTGCTCCCACTCTCCCCATCTTTATTTGGACCATAGTATTTGGCTTTTTGTATTAACTTACCTATGTCTTTTAGCTTATACAGCTTTTTTCTTTTATGACTGTAAGCCGTCCAGAATTACCCTGAGGTAAAATGGGCAGCCAATACATTTTACAAATAAATAAATTTCAGGCTAATCCTGGATGTTTGTTTCCCTTGTGACATTGTAAATATGCTAAAAATTACAAGATGAAGATGTGATCTAAAAGCTCAGCAATGATTAAAGTAATTCATGTTTGGAAGACAGGTTCCTCCTTTGGAATTCCATGGAAGGAAGGAAGCATGGTGTAAATATATTTACATGCTATTATGTAATCAGTAAGCAGAAACTCAAAAGATGTTCATACTTGTTGCAATTAAATGAAACTTTTCTTGAGTGATAGCATGCAGGTAGATATTTCATTTGGTTACTTATTCCTGAGCAAAATATTATATCATTCTAATGTACAATTTTCTGACACTCTCTTATACGTAGCCTAATTTCTAAAGTGACTATTCATTAAGCCACAAGTGAATTTGGCACAATAGTATATGTTCCTGCCATACAAACATAATTAATAATGATTAATACTGCAATAGCTCTCCAAAAGCAGTTATGATTATGTCCCATTTATAATAAAGTGCTGCCATTGTGTTATCTAGCATATGATAGTTTGGCTGATAACTAAAATGTATATAATAAAAGAACATTGATGAATAGGTTATGATTTGCAACAGCCTCTCTTTATTTTCCTGTGTGTCTAATGGAGTGTCTTAAGATACTTAAGATATTCAGATTTATTAATGTGATATTCTTATATTTATTGATTGACTTTAGTTTTTACAGAAATGGAAATGGCTGTTGGATTCTGTTGGTGCATTGTGATCTGTTCTATCTGGCTGCAGGAATTGGAATTTGTAAAAATGTAAAGCAAACAGTCTAGTGATGTGGCTATGTTCACCCTCTCAGTAGGTCATGCTGGGAATTCAGGGAGTTGTAGTCTCAGCTAGTGCTAAGAACACTAACTTGAAAAGGACTCCTGAGAAAATATTTCTTCAGAAGTTTGTCCTTGGACTTGAATGGAAAGGCAGAAAGAATTTAGACCGCTAGAGAAATTATTGGATAAACTGGACAGGAAGTTCACATATGCCCATTGGCTACTTTGAAACTAAAAAAGTACATGAATTTATGGGATTTTCTCCAAGGTCCTCTTTTTCTTTGAAGTAATTCCAAAATCGAATTCCTTTTCATCAAGAAATAAATGAAAACCTATAGGAAAAATGCTGAAGAATCTTTCTGCCCAGAATAAGTCCCAATGTACCAGGAGGGCAGCAACTGGTTTAAACTAACATACTATAATAAATAGTTCTTGGGGGGGAGTTTAACCCTGTGAAAGCGAATATTTAAAAGGGCTATGATCTCGATATAAAGAGCTAAAGATTTGGGGGATAGGATTTAGCTGATGAAGCTTTCTAAAGAAACTTAGAGAAAATGGCTAAGTTTCTATTGGGATGCCCTTAGTTCTGCTTCTCCATTCCAAGGAAACAATTTATCTCAATAGTTACACAAAAATGTAATTTTAAAAGAAGAAAGAGAGGAGAGAAAGGAGAGGAGAGAGTGAGGGAAAAAGAGAGAGGGAAAGAGAGAGAGAGGGAAGGAAAGAGGGAGGGAGAGGGAAGGAAAGAGAGAGGGGGAAGGAAGGAACAAGGGAGGGAGGGAAAGAGAGGGAGAAAATGCACAAGTTCTACTACAGGTCTTAATTCTCTATTGAAAGTATTGAGAGTGAGTACAAAGGAGAAAGGCAGTTTGAATCATATAACTGTAAACCAAGAATACCAAGAATACATTTAGGGTTAGTGCGCTTGAGATTGTGATTTTATTTTATTTCAAAATGACTGGCTTAGTTCAGCGTAATACTTGTTTTACAGCTGTCTTTCACAGTACTCTTTTCAAACTTGGATACTGTCCTCTTTATAAAAAAATTACCAGTCTACATGGACAGATTATCTATCTAGAATCTCTAATCTGTGCTCTCCAAGCAGAAATTAAGTGCCCAATCCAGCCATCTATTGAGCTGCTGTGCTACCAGCCCCCACTACCACAAAGATCTTACAGGAAAAGGGCAGTATGGACAACCATGGGATCTGGCAGGGTGAGAGCTGTGGACCATAAATGCAAAGCTTTTGCTGTGTCCCAGCATAACAGATATAGTGCCCTTGCTGACCTTAATAGGGACACTAAAATGACAGGTCAAGGTAGTTGTGATAATGATAATTCAAATAAGCCAGGGATCATGGTCCTAGAAGAAGAACTTACTTTGGAAAGGAGAAAGTGTAAATTAGGTATTATGCACCAGTCACACAAGAAGAGCAAGGCATCCAAAAAGAGAAGCTACCTTCTGGTTGGGGACTCAATCAGGGGTGGGATTCTATCACTTCGCACCTATTCACTAGAACCGGTTGTTAACATTCTAAGCAGTTCGGAGAACCAGTTGTTAGAAGAAATTACTGGCCTAATCCTGTAAGAAAGGCAGGAAGGAAACATTCCGGTGTTGCTTACAGAAACTGCCTCTCCATTAACCCTTATTACATTCTTGGCAGGACTAGACTTCCTGTCTCAGGAACTTCTCTGGAGTTTTTTTCCCCTCCTTTGCTGGTACTTTGCTTGTGTGGAGTGACCATTCAAAGTTACAATGGTACTGAAAAGAGTGACTTATGACCATTTTTCACACTTACGACTGTTGAAGCATCCCCACAGTCATGAGAGGACAGGCGAGGAGATGCGTGCATTGATGTGAGTGATATTGAGTTGGCCACGCCCAGCCAATAACATGACCACCAAGCCATGCCCACCAACTAAGCCATGCCCACAGAACCGGTTGTTAAAAAATTTGAATCCCACCCCTGGATTCAATTGTAAGGCATGTAAATTTAGGAAAGGATATGGAGGTTTTGAAAGAGGCCAGGTGTCTGCCAGGTGCTACTGCCAGCAGAGACAAGAAGCATATTCTTAAGGTAGTCAAGAATGCCAGTAAGGATCGTGATGTTGATGCTATTATACATCTTGGTACAAATGATCTGTCCCAGAAGGATGTATTTTCTGTTCAGAAAGACTTCCAGAGCTTGGGGTATGAACTTAGTAATATGGGCTATAGGCTTATCTTTTCAGAGGTTCTACCAGTATACAAGGAATGAAAAGGGAAAGGCCAGCGTGTAGTGGAGTTTATTGTGTGGCTAAAGGAGTGGTGTAAAAGGGAAGGCTTTGGTTTTCTTAGTCATGATGTCTGCAGCTGGTCCAATGAAAAACTGTACAAAAGAGATGGTTTGCATCCATCAAAGAAAGGGACTGAGTTACTTGGCATTAAATTCACAGATTTCCTGGATAAACATTTAAACTGAACAGTGGGGACAGAGAATTAATGGATACAGAACATTTCTGTCCCCAGCAACCTAAAATTAATAAGGATACCAGGGCATGCAAAATAGATGTTTGTGCAGGTAAGATTATCAATCTTGCTGTCAACCAAAACCAAGCATTTAATAGTGAGTGCCATACCATGTGCATTAATCAAACAGGTGGCAAGAAAGTAGGGGCAGGCAGGCACAACACAGGTTATGTAGACAGTAAACATTATGTCAGACATAAAGATCTCAAGTGCCTATATACAAATGCACAAAGTCTGGGGAACAAACAGGATGAACTCGACTTATGAATACATGAAGGTAGATATGATATAGTTGGAATAACAGAAACTTGGTGGGGTGAAACCCATGACTGGAACATACTGGTAGAAGGATACAAACTATTAAAAAAACAGACCCCATAAAAGAGGAGGTGAAGTTGCACTGTATGTAAAGGACCACTATATTGCTACAGAAATACACGAAACCAAAGATGAAAACCTCCTAGAATGCATATGGGTCAATATAAAAGAAAAAAAGAATGATATGGCCATAGGTGTATATTATAGGCCACCCAATCAAGCAGAAAAAATAGATGTCCTTTTTGCCAACCAACTAACAAACATATGCTGAAAACACACAACAACAGTAATGGGAGACTTCAAATTATCCTGATATCAATTGGAAAACTGATTCTGCACCAAGTGAGAAATCAATAAGTTTGATTTCTAACCAACCTAGCTGACAACTTTGTTGTCCAAAAAGTAGAGGGTGAAACTAGAGGGACAGCCATACTGGACTTAATTCTTACAAACAGAGAAGAAGTGTTAAAGGGAGTTGAAACTGCAGGAACCTTGGGTGAGAGTGACCATTTCATACTATAATTCAACATAACACAAACACAAGCAATAGAACATAATGACACCAGAGTCTTGGATTTTAAAAGAACTGATTTCAATAAACTCAGAGAGAACTTGGGAATGATTCCATGGATGAAAATCCTACAGGGGAAAACAACTCAAGAATCTTGGGAAACTCTAAAAAGTATGATCATAGAAGCCTAGACTAGCACAATACCACTGAGAAAGAAAAACAAGAAATCCAAGAAGAAACCAGCATGGCTGCACAAAGATCTCTCTGGCAAATTGAAAGAAAAAAAGGACAAATACAAACAAAAATGGAAAGAAGGACATACAACTAAGGCAGAATATCAGCAGATAGTCAGAATCTGCAAAGATGAAGGCAGGGTAACAAAGGCTCAGAATGAACAAAGACTTGCAACAAAAGTCAAAGATAATAAAAAAGCCTCTTCCAACATATAAATAACAAGAAAAAAAATCAAGGAAACAGTCAGTCCACTAAAGAGAAAAGATGGCAAGGAAATAACAGGCAACAGAGAGAAAGCAGAACTGCTTAACTCATTCTTTGCATCGGTCTTCATGCAAAAAGAAATTATAGCTCAACCCACCAAAAACATAACTGTAAAAGACAGACCAGAAATAAAAGTAAAAATAAGCAGAAAAATAGTAAGAGAACACCTGTCTGATCTTGATGAACACAAATCACCAGGGTCTGATGGATTACAGTTTTAAAGGAGCTGGCAGAGGTCATCTCAGAACCACTGCACCATACCTTTCAAAAATCCTGGAGCACTGGGGAACTACCAGAGGACTGGAAAAGAGCTGATGTGGTTCCCATCTTCAAAAATCGGGGAAAAAAACAGACCTAGGAAACTATAGACCTCAGCCTAACATCAATACCCAGGAAGATACTGGAAAAGATAATTAAAAAAACATATCTGCCAACATCTAGAAACAAGTAAAGTAATAACTAGCAGTCAGCATGGGTTTTTTAAGAACAGATCATGCCAAACCAATCTTATTTCATTCTTCAACATAGTGACTAAATTAGTAGACCAGCAAAATACTGTGGACATAATATAATTAGACTTCAGTAAGCCATTTGACAAAGTGGACCACAACCTACTTAGTAAGCTAGAAAAAAGTAGAATAGATAGCACCACCACTAGATGGACTCGCAACTGGCTGATAAACAATACTCAACAAGTAGTCCTTAATGGGTCTAAGTCTACATAGAGGGAAGTAAGCAGTGGGGTGCCACAAGGTTCTGTTTTAGGCCCAGTACTCTTCAATATTAACAACTTAGATGAGGGAATAGAAGGGGAATTTACCAAATTTGCAGATGATACTAAGCTGGCAGGAATAGCTAACACCCAAGAAGATAGGCTCAAGATCCAGATGGATCTTGAAAGACTAGAACATTGGGCCGTAACTAACAAAATGAAATTCAATGTAGAGAAAAGTAAAGTCTTACACTTAGGCAAGAAAAATCAAAAGTACACATATAGACTGGGTGAAACCAGGCTCAATAGCAGTAACTGTGTGAGTCTTAGTGGACAACCAGCTAAATATGAGCCAGCAGTGTGCAGCAGCAGCCAAAAAAGCTAATGCAATCCTAAGTTGTATTAACAGAGGGATACAATCAAGATCAAGTGAGTTACTAATACCACTCTATAAAGCCTTAGTAAGACTACACCTAGAGTACTGCATCCATTTTTGTTCACCACATTATAAAAAAGATGTTGAGACTCTAGAAAAAGTACAGAGAAGAGCAACCAGGATGACTAGAGGACTGGAGACTAAAACACACAAAGAACAGTTACAGGAACTGGACTTGGCTAGTCTAGTAAAGAGAAGGACCAGGGGAGACATGATAGCAGTCTTTCAATATTTGAGGGGCTGCCACAGAAAGGAAGGAGTCAAGCTATTTTCTAATATAAAGCACCTGTAGGCCAGACAAGGAGTAATGGATGGAAACTGAACAAGGAGAGATTTAACCTGGAAATAAGAAGAAACTTTCTGACAGTGAGAACAATCAACCAATGGGACAGCTTGCCCTCAGAAGTTGTGGAAGTGGATCACTTGAGACTTTCAAGAAGAGATTGGACTGCCATTTGTCAGAAATGGTGTAGGGTCTCCCGCTTGGGCAGGGATTTGGACTAGATGACCTACAAGGTCCCTTCCAACTCTGATTATCTGTTATCTGTTAAATATAGACTCAAATTACAGTGAAACAGACAAGTTCGTTGCTAAATATGATGTGCTTGAATAATATTCTCTCTGAGAAGAGTTTATTCACTCTTCAAAGAGGCTTCCAATATCTAAGATTCCTTAGGAACTAAATGTAGCTTAAACACTAAGTGAAGTAAGAAAAGGAACAGCTAATTTTTGCAAATTTTACAGCCATGTAGACTTGAATGTAGACTTTTAGGAATCCCCATTTGAGTATCTTTTTCAGAAATACCATGAAAATGCTACAAGATTAAGTTTTCATTGAGTTGAGCTTGATTCCTAATATCTAACTCATTCATTCATTCTGGAAAATGGTTTCCTATCATCTTGTTATTTTCTAATTTGCCATCCATCTATTTCCCGGCAGTTTTCTATCCAAATTAAGTCACCTCTGACCCACTTAGATTTTGGGAGACTTGCCAATGTTGGCCAGATACAGTATTGTCACTTAAAGGATAAATGTAGTTTAAAAAAGAGATCACCATCTGTATCAAAAATGGTTTTGCTCAACACAGTTGTCCAACTGATCAAAATAAAACCCAGTAAAATGTAATAGCTGCTGACAATGGCTGAATCAACATTGTGAATTTGCCTTCTGGTGTTGCAAATCCAAATTGGTGACAAAACCATGGCAACTGTTCCTATTAGAATAACTCTACAATTTTGTTAACATTTTGATAAGGTTATAGATAATGCATAAGAGGATTTTAATGTTTTACTCTTTCAGATGAATTTAAATCATTTCTTGGAATCATAAGATAGAGCAAAATAATTATACAAATGCAGGCTGGCTTTGTGAATAAGGTGAGGGTAAAAGTTCCCCTCACACATGTGTGCTAGTCATTTCTGGCTCTAGGGGGCAGTGCTCATCTCTGTTACAAAGCCAAAGAGCCAGCACTGTCCTAAGACATCTCTGTGGTCATGTGGCCATCATGACTAAACGCCGAAGGCTCATGGAACACTGTTACCTTCCCACCAAAGTGGTCCCTATTTTTCTACTTGCATTTTTACATGCTTTTGAACTGCTAGATCGGCAGAAGCTGGGACAAGTAATGGGAGCTCACTCCGTTACACAGTGCTAGGGATTCATACAGCCAAACTGCCGACCTTTCTGATCGACAAGCTCAGCGTCTTAGCCACTGAGACATTACGTCCCTGCTTTGTGAATACATCTATTCTATTAGCCAACTTTCCCTTGCAGCATCTTATATAGTGAGGAAACCACATGATTTGTGTTCATTGCAAATCTTGCAAACTAAAGTCAGCATTTCATATAAAACTAATGTGTCATTTGTAATCCATCAATAAAAGGGTTTTTATTCATAAATAATCAATCTGCAGTAATTCTGTACATTTTCAAAGGACTTTGGAGCCATACAACTTTATGCAAACTCTGCAGAAAACATCCAAATTCTGTTCCTTTCTCTCATATCAGTTAGCATGTTTGGCATTGGTATATATGTTTGTGTGTATATTTATATGCACACAGACATATATCGGTACATATACATAGGTACATGTGTGGTGTATATATCTATTTATACAATATGTACATATTGTGTAAAAGAAGCCATGGTCACTTTTTGCAAAAAGCATTTGCTGTACAACATTCAGAATTTACATTGATAATACAAGGCACAGAAAATCTGGTATGAAGCCAAGGCCATAATACGTAGTTTCTCTTAAGGAGGCATCCAATTCTACCTGTCTCTTTTCTTGTAGTAAAGAAATACCTTATTCCATCCAACTTCTGATGAAATTTCAGAAAGCCACTTTGTGACATTAACCAATTCATTTTCAAAGGGCTCCAAAAGTCAATTGCCTTTACACATTACTGGAAAAGAAAGAACACTAATCATTAGGATAGTGGGAGGGGGAAAAAAAGAAAAATTAATTTATGTGTCTGCAAGCAAATACTGAATATGGGATTGTTAGAATCAACTTCATTTCAATTTTGTTTAACCTAAATAAAAGCAGGGAAACTTAAGCAAGGAACATGTGAATCCTGTGCTGATATCCAGGATAGAAATTGATGAGGCATGGATTTTTGAGCCTGAGTTTTCTTTTTCAGATATTGATAGAGATTCTCAGTCATCCAAATTATAGTTGTCCCAAAGGTGTGTTTCCGAAGGCAATGGGACTTTCTGTGTTTTTCCTTGAAGACGTTTCATTTCTCATCCAAGAAGCTTTTTCAGTTCATCACAAGAACTGAAGATCCTTCTTGGATGAGAAGCAAAATGTCTTCATTTTTTTATATTTATTTATTTTACCAGATCAATAGTACAATTCGACAAATGAAAAATGAAATGAGAGTTTTAGTACGTTGATAATAGACTAATTAAGAGAAATAATTAAGAGAAATCTTTGTGACCTAGATAAATGTGGTGTGCTTAATAAACCACAACAACTGGTGTACCCTGTGTCATCTAATCTGATTGGAAAAATCATGAAGACAGAGCTAGAAAAGAATTTGGAAATTATTGGTTTACCTGTTTGTAAAATATACAGTGAAGAAATTTCATTTTTCTGTGTAGTTGTTCATTTTCATCACCTAATTCTTTTTCTTCTGCCAGTTTGTATACTTATTTATCAAATTATATAACCAGCCCCAGTTTTAAGAGACTCTATTTGATATACAAATATGAAAGTAAATTAATATAAAAGTAAAGTAAATTACAAAACAAATGAAATTCCAGATGAATTTAATAGGTGCCAAGCAGAGGTGGTATTCA